CACAAACAGTAACAATTACATCTTATATCATTATGTCCAATGCCAGAGAAAAGCTGCATACTAGGCCTGTGCAAGTTGGCAGCGATCCGATCCAGCTTCGGATCCAGCTGTTTTGGATGGCTGCAATCTGATCCAGAGCTCCGGACTGGGTTTCCGCCTCAATCCAGCCAAAGCAGCTCTGAAGCTTCGAAGCCACCTCAGAGATCCGGCCATAGGGTATCAATGAAATATCTATAACTTTGTTGTTTTTTGTCCAATTTGGATGAAACTTGCAGGGATGGTAGACTCTGCTTAGAGCATGACACTTGCCAAGTGTCAAGGAGATAAGTGCAGTGGTTTGGGGGGAACTGCACCTCAAGCTGCAGACAAGCAAAACTCGGGCCAAGGGTGACACTGTGTGTGTGTTAAGGCGCAGTGGGGTGACAGCTGCAGGGATGGTGGCCCCTGCTGTGATGCCTGCCAGCTGTCGAGGAGATCAGTGCAGGGGGGTTCTGGGGCCCTGCACCCCTAGCTGCTAACAGGCAAAATTCGTGCCATGGGTGCTTTTGGGACTGACTGTCTGTCTTGGGGCAGTTGATTGTATTGATTCTTTCTTCTCCTTAGTCTGGTTTTGTAGGTGCTAATTGATGGCAACTAACTGGCTATATTAGGTAGTCCTGTGTATTGAGCTGGTCCCTGAGTGAATCATGATTGATTGGTAATTGGTAACACAGTAGCTTAGCAGACAGGCATGCAGTAGTCTCTCCCCTCTCCGCCCCAAGACAGACACAGTCAGTCCCACAAGCACCCATGGCACGAGTTTTGTCTCTCAGCAGCTAGGGGTACAGGGCCCCAGAACCCCCCTGCACTGATCTCCTTGACAGCTGGCAGATATCATGGCTGCAGCAGGGGCCACCATCCCTTAAGCTGTCACCCCGCTGCGCCTTAACACACGCAGTGTCACCCATAGCATGAGTTTTGCTTGTCCACAGCTTGAGGGGCAGTTCCCCCCAAACCCCTGCACTGATCTTCTTGAAACCTGGTAGGCTTTGTGGCCTTAGCAAGAGCTACCACCTGCAGTTTTGACCCCCTTGTGTCGTAACACAGACGTGACAGGAGTTTTGCTTTCAAGAATTTGGGGTGCTGTTCCTCCCAAACCCCTGCACTGATCTTCTTGAAACTTGGTATGCTTTGTGGCCTCAGCATAGGCTATCACTCCTGCAGTTTTTACCCCCCTATCTTGTAACGCCTAGACATGACATGAGTTTTGCTTTCAAAAATATGGGGTGCAGTTTCTCTCAAACCCCTACACCAATCTTCTTGAAACTTGGCAGGCATCATGACCTCTGCAGATTATACCACTCCTGAAAATTTCATCCAAATCTGACAAAAAACAACAAGGTTATGGGTATGTTATTGTTTCCCCATTATACCCTATGGCCGGATCTCCGAGATCTCCGAAGCGCTTCAACCCTATGGCCAGATCTCCAAGGCGGCTCCGAACCGCTTCGGGAAGCTGAACAAGGCCAGCGCTTTGAACCGGACATGCTGCTTCGGAACCCGAAGCATCCAAAGCTTCTCTGGATCCGAAGCTCTGTCCGAAGCCTCGCACAGCCCTATAGCATACTGCTTGGAGCATTCAGTGCCAGCTAGTGTGATACAGTGGGTGCCAGCCAAGAGAGTGCCTGGAACAAATCAAATGTTTCACTTCCTCAGCCTGGATTCCAGGGCACTAGGCAAATAAGCGTGATGCAGAGCAAGATGTGGTTGTTTCATGGAGCCCTGGGGAAGCATGGAAATGGGCGCATTCCACACGCCTTTATACAAGAGAGGCTTTGATATGGGGAAGCATTTTTTGTAATGCTTCAAACACAAAACATAAAAACCAAAAAAAAAGATTTCAAACTGCATCTCAAATATTGTTTCCATTGATGGCATTTTTCAAGCACAGGTTTCTTTCTTTTATTGGGAACTCTGTTCTAAAGTGTAGACCCTGTCAGGATTCCTAACATGGACACAGTCTACACATCTACATGTGCACATTAGCCTGTTTTAATGCACATTAAAACATCACAAAAAAAGTGTTTGCTTTCACTAATTAAAATGCTTTCACATTAAAATAGGATATGCCTTTTCTAGTACCTCACAATGGAGGTACAAAATTTTAATGTGCAAAAGCACATTAATGAAATGTGTAGATACACCCAGCAAGGTAACTAAGGCAGGGAGACTAGGGCATCAACCCTGGGCACCAGCTTGGCCGGGGGCAGGGGTGGGGGGTGCTTTTTTTTTTAAAGCAATCATCATTACTGCTTTGTCTGACACTGGGAGCAGCTGCTACCCAATGTGCCACTGCACTAGGGTTAGTGTAACCAAACAGGCAGCACAAGCAGTTACCTATGGTTGCTAATTGTAGAAAGCAGCAAAAATGAGGCATAGGTGTTGCACTTCAGACATGCTGATTACACGGGAGGGGCAAAACACCTGCAGAATCCTAGTCCCACCCCTCCTGCCTGTGGGGAGGCTGGGAGCTGGAACACAAAGTCCAGACACTACCAAGAGCACAGAACTGCCCATTTATGCTCTGCCTGGATCTCTTTGTTAATAGATACCAGATTCAAGACACAAGGCATGTGTAACAGGAAAGCTAACACTCCTGTTACTTTAAGGGAAAACTTGCAGCAGATAGTTCCTTGTAGCCATCCTTAAGTTATCTGCCAGGGCTCTAAGCAGTGAGGAAACCCTGTTACCTAGGCAAGGAACTGACCATTAGGGAAAGGGGAGCACCTGCAGTGGATTAACAAACCACTGCCCCAGGTGAGCAGGCTGCTGCAAGCAGACCATAGGGCAGAGCCTAGCTGGGAAACAAGGAAACAGCTGCAGCTGTAATTGTAAGCTCCCAGGGCGACTGGATGGCAAGCCCTGATGAGTCAGCCATGCAGGTGGCAGGAAAGGAGCTCTATCTTAAAAACACTCTGCCAGAGTGGTTGGATAGGAGCTGCTTATTCCAAGGACTGTGGTCTGAGAAGGGGCAAAGACAGTGCTAGAGAGCCCTGAGAGGAGAAGAGCTTAGGGACAGGGGGCCTGGAGCCTGAGAAGGGAAGAGATTTAAGAACCTGGGACAGGCAAATGTGGTTAGTGAGTCTGGGGCCTGGGCAGAGCAGAGAGAAAGGCCCCAGGGGGTAAGGTAAGGGGCTGGAGCATGAAAGCCAGCTCCAGGACAGTGGGCTTTGGCTAAGGGACCAGCTAGAATAGAGGGGCAGAAGCTGGGAAGGCCAAAGTCCCAACAGGGGAGTAAAGGCTTGAGGTGGCTTTGAGGACAAGTATCCCACTTAAATGATATTGCATAACACCTGCAAGGCATGGGCATGGATGTAGGGGAGGTTCAGAGGCTGTGAATATCCCCTAAGGAAATGGGTGCCTCAAGCAGAGAGGGTCCAACTACTAACAGACTAGGTTCAAGTTAGTGGGGACCAGGAGGGGATAGGGGATGCTGGCAAAGGAAGGTCAAGGATGGGTTCTGGGACTCTTAGACAGCTTTCTTTTTATAACTTAACAATTATATGAAGGTGTGGTGGGTGAGACTGGAAGGGAGGGTACTCAGAATCAGGGCAAGGCAGTAGCCTCCAGGGAGTAGTATAGTCATTTGGCCTCCAGGGAGTAGTATAGTCACCCTTGGGGCCTGGCTCTGCTACAGCATGCTATACCTTTTGTGGTTTATAAGTATCAACTCGTGCCTATTAGGGGTGTGGAAAATGGGCCATATTCGATTTAGATTCAGCCTGAATTGGGAACAGTGATTTGATTTGTTGATTCAGATCACTGTCCACAATTCAATTCAGCTGAATCAGAATCTGAAGATTTGACGCTAATTCAGAGAATCAGCAATTCAGCCATAGACACAGATTTAAATGTTTTTTCTACATACCTTGAGGTACCAGGAGTGGCTCATGAACACTGCAATGGTGGAGCAGATGGAGCATCCCACAGGAGCAAAGGGGGCCCCCCCATGTGTTTGGTGGTGAACCCGGAAGTGGACTAGAAGTAGTTCCAGTCCACTTCTGGGTCCACTGGGGAGTGTGCTGGGGGGCTCCTGCATACCCCCTCAGCCCAGCAATTGGCCATGGGGGGACCCCAGGTGCCCCCCCCCCCAGACCCAGGAGGCACCAGTCACCAAGCCAGGCTGGCATGGGGGTGCTCCCCAGTGTACTCCACGGTGGGCCCGGAAGCGCTTCTGGTCCATTTCCATGTCTGCTGCTGAGCACCCAGGGCCCCCCCCATGGTCCTGTGGGATGTTCCATCTGCCCCACCATTGCAGCATTCATGAGCTGCCTGGTATCTTGAGGGCTATAAAAAAAACGTTTAAAACTGTCTCTATGTCAGAATCTCCAAACCTTTCCAAATTGATTTGGATGGTTCCGATTTGATTCAGAGAGATTAAAGGGTCTCCTGATTCGATTTGAAGATGTGGCCGCCGAATTGGGCCGAATCTCCACCAAATCGAATCAGGGACCAAAACTTCGCACAGCCCTATTGCCTATTACAACATATACTATCATACAAAGACTAACAAGAGTCCATGTACAACTTAATTCTTCCTGGGGTTTCCTGGAGGGCGTCTCTCTAGTTTGTTCCAAATCCTTGATTGTTTTTAGCACATGGTTTAAACCCATCCTGTTTGCTTCTGTCTCAGATGCCTGGCATACAAGTTCATAGTGCTGTAAAAACAGCAAGAATGGATGGCCTTTTCATTTTAATAATTGGTGCAGGAAAGCAGTTGACATGGAAAGTGCCACCTTGCACTTCCTTGAGTTATCTACACATTAGAAGAGGATCAGACAAGTGCATAGCAAACTGAGGAAAATCTATAAGAAAAAGGTTTTTTAAAGTTCAGGGAATACTTGAATTATTCCACCTCCCACTGTCTAGGAAGGGGAAGTTTTCAGGAGAACACAGCACAATTGCTATTTGTCTTTATACTAACATAGCACAGAGTCCTCCTTCCAGACAAAATCATTTGTGGCTTCTTTGGGTTTGCACAGTCCCTAGCAGTCATATTAATCACACTGAACTCCACTGCATCAAGGATAAGTGAAAACGAAATTTCTCCAGGAACTGCAACAGGTGTCATGGGAGATGGCATCCTGATTCTTGAGACATTTCATGGACATGCATATTCCACTAGTGTTCTTCATCTTCCATAAGACTCACCTCTGGGTCAGCAACCTATCTCCTATGGAAAGTGTCCCAGGAGAGAACGGGGGGAAAGACCTCAGACAAGAAAAGAAAGTTATGAGAGGCAGGAGGGACAGGAGAGAGAAAAACAAACACAGGGAGGACAAAACAAGAAAAAACTACTTACCTTTAACAGGGGCCGCAACACAGCAGAAACAGAGAGAGAAGCCCATGCAGCTCATTAGCCGTGCCTTTATTCAGCTGAGGCCGGCCGGTGATGTCACAAGGAATCCCTGTCCGGCAGGAATAAAGGTGGTGGACGGACAAGGAGGAGGGGGAGGAAGGACCCAGGGGAGTGTGGGGATGCCAGGCCCCTTCTGGGATCATCACTGGGAAGAGAGAGCAGTGAACAGGGAGCCAAAGGAGGCTTCTGACGCTGGCCGCAGCCACAGCAACCAGGAACAAGCCACCAACACCAGAGGCGAGCAGGAAGCAGCTCCGTCAGCCTGCAAGACTTGCAGCAGCAGAGGAAACAGCAGAGGACACGCAGGAATCACCACCACTGCAGGTGGGAGTACTGGGGACCAGAGGGAGGAGTAGGAGCTCTACCCAACAAGAGAGCCTCAGCAGAAGCAGACAGAAGGATTGCAGAGAACTCAGGCATTGATCCTGAGTGTGGGGGAGAGCCAGCCACTCATCAGGGAATGGCGAAATCTTCAGATAGGGATGCTCCAGAGAGGAGAGGAGCAAGATAGCCCAGGGCATATAGAGAAAGGGGAAGGAGGGGAAGGGAGGACCCGAGCAGGGGTCAGCTCCTAGCCAGGCCATAGGGAGCTCGGCACCCAGGGTCTGATATAAGAGACTTGGGAAGGGAGTTGCTTTTTGTTCTTCTTTTTGTGTTTCTTTTGAGTTTCCCCGTGCAAAGGGGTTGAGGGGTAGGAGACTACATGAGAGTAGGAGAGACGTGGCGGAGTTCATAAGTTGGCCCATCGAGTCAAGGTCGGGGAAAAGCTCCTCCTAGGAGAGTACAGACAACACGAGCAAGACTGGTGAACACAACTCATAACAGAATAAGCGAATCGGCCTTGGAAGTTGGTATCCTGAACCGGAGAGAAATCGGGAGGCTCTAGAAGAAGAGGTACATGGTCACAAAGGTGGGACAACTCATCAAGGTGGTGTGAGGACGGGGTGTAGGGGTGGCGGAGCCCCACTAGTGACCACTGGGCCACCTGTGCCGTAGAAAATTCCCGGGATAGTCGTTCCCCCCACTGGGAACCACTCAGGTTGTGGCAGGCAAGATAGGGGAAGGCTTCCCAGGGAGGGAACATCAACATGGCATTTTTAGGGAGGCTGCAGGGCATACACCCCTCTGTGAGCGAGCCAAGGTAGCACGTGACCGATTACTCGAGACCCAGCGGTCACAGAAAGGTTTTATCCAGCCAACCAGGCACAGTTCACTGCTTGCTCACTGTTTTCCTATGTCTCCTAGGCTTCCCCAGTGCAGATCTCTGAAGACCCTCCAATCCCATCTCTCCTCCCAGCCAAAGGGAAAGGCCCAACACCAGCTGCAGGTGGGGAAAAAGCATGGAACCTCTGACTTTGCTGCCAGCTGCTCCTGCAATAGGTATCCAGGGGTGGGAGCAGGTGAATAGGGAGCCACTGCATCTGGGCCAGCGTACAGGTCAGCAGGATGAGGAGGCTGGGTAGGGGCTTTCCATAAACATAGCCTAGGAAGTGGCACACCACACAAAGCATGGGAGCCTAATAGCTCCTGGGGCATTTTAAAGACCTGCTCTGACTGTCTCTGGTTGGGGAAGATCAGGAAATTGAGCACATCCTGCAGACAGACAGGATCCCTATCTGAACAGGGCTGTGCAGATCCCTGCAGTGGATAAATGTATGGACTGAGTTGGCTGGGGGGACATTTCCCAGAAGGAGGTGTGTGTGTGTTCGGGTGCACTACGACCAGGCTGTGTTAATTCTTATGATGACAGGTTGAGAGTTATGGGGCTCTTTAGCCTGGAAAAGGGCAGGCTTGGGGCGATCTGATGGCCACCTATAAGTTTATCAGGGGTGTTCACCAGGATCTGGGGGAATGATTGTTCACCAGAGCAGTCCAAGGGATGACCAGGTCAAACGGTTATGAACTCCAGCAAGACCGTTTCAGGCTGGACATAAGGAAGAATTTCTTTACTGTCCGAGCCCCCAAGGTCTGGAATAGCCTGCCATCGGAGGTGGTTCAAGCACCCACATTGAACGCCTTCAAGAGAAATTTGGATGCTTATCTTGCTGGGATCCTATGACCCCAGCTCACTTCCTGTCCCTTGGACTCAATGATCTTCCAAGGTCCCTTCCAGCCCTAATATCTATGAAATCTATGAAATCCAACCTGCTGTTAGTGAAAGGCTGCAAACCCAGATGTAGTGTAAAACTTGCTTATTTCACTGTTACTTTGTTTCACTGTACATCTGTCCATTAGTCACAAAAATAAACCCTTTGGGTAATAGTATCTTTTGACAACTGAGAGAACGTGGTTCTTATCATTACTTGAGCACAATTATACAAACAGTAAGTTAAAGATGTTGTTTGGAATGAGAGCTGGCCAGGAATTTTGAGATAAACTTTTTTCATTGAAAAGTGTTGAGAGTTGAAACTGGAATCCTGCAGGAACAAGAGCAACCCCCCACCGCCCACAGCAGAATAACCAGTAAACTAGTTCCCAGAGCATTTACCTAGAATGTTAGGGCACATGTACATGGAAAGGGGGGGAGGTTAGTCCATACAGTTGCATTTTATGGCCCCTAAGTTGAAATGGTCATTTTTTAATTGAAACCCACCATTTTACATTTAGGGGTTTCTGTCACTGTTATGGCAAGGGGCCTGATCCTTTTTTTTTCTCCACCAGCAGAGACTGCCTGTGGCAGGCCAGTCAGGGGTGCTCCTACACTGAGACACCCACCTCACTGTGCCCCACCAAAAACCTGGCTTCAGATGCCTCCCCAGGGGCACCAACTTCTGGTCAACCCCTTCCTGGAGCACACCTGCAAGCCTGGGGTAACTGCTGCCACCACCCAGGGATCTGATCTTTATTTGGGCCCTGTATCCCCTGGGCTACACAGGCCTTGTAGACCTTGAAGGTGCTTGACCCACTGCGAGAACTTGGGGTGCTTCCTTTACACTGAAGCACAGAAAGTAGCCTCCCTAAGTCAGCCAAACATAGAGAGCATCAAGGCATGCCCAATCCCTCTCCCTACAAGTCCACTAAGCTTTTTATAGTGGAGAGCCTTATTGGTTAAAGAAGGTAGGCTTGGGGAAGGGTACAAGTTAGGTAAGGATCAAAGAATAACCCAGAGCAAACAATGTGGCTTGGTTGCCTTTTGTCATGCTTCTACATTACAATAAGATATATTTCTAGATAAGTTTCAGGTACGTTCCTCACAAGTATCATCCAGAGGCTGACTGAGCTTCCCCTAGGGGCAGGCAGTTCATAGTGTGTCAGTGAATTTCAAGATGCCTCTTCCCCCTCTCCCCCCAAGATGGAGAGGCCCTTAAATAACCTCTCTGACCTCACCCCTTGAACCAAACATAAACCAATATTCTCAGACCATGGCTGACACTGGTTGGTCAGTTTAAAAAGTGTCTGCACCCTCAGGTGAGAGTTTAGGGTTATACAGGACAGAAGACGAAATTCCCCTCCCCCTCAGGAATTTGCAACCCTGTTACCATGGAAACCAGGTGCCTGCTGCACACAAAAGCCTAGCTGTAAACACATGAATTACAAGTTACATTACAAAGGGGAGCCATTTCTCCACCACCAGATGTTTTTATAGATCTCTCTATAGACCAAAGCTTTTTTTTCAAAAGTTATACAGAATGTGATTTGGTTCCATATTTGTATGGCCCACCTCTCTCATGCTGCTTTGCTGAAACAATATTAGGCCTTTAAAAAAAGAAAATTCTCCTTTGTATAAGATGTGTACATACACACATATACACAAAGCACCCAATACAGCCAGAGCATGACAACAACAGTACAATACCTCAGACAGCTTGCCTATTTTGCTTTAAGCATAGGCAAGGAACACAGCCAAAGAACTCCAGCTGTGAGTGCATTCTCTATATCATGGTATGGTACATTTGTGCCCAGCAGGCTCTGGCAGACTGTTTAAAAATAACTGCCTTGAAGAACATGGCATTCATCTATCTACTGGGGCTTCACACCTGTCCACATTTTTTTAGAGAGGAGCTTAACAAGTACATCCAGCTTGAAAATAACTTTGCAGTCTTCATAAGGGAATCAATGTGATTTACTGGCCTGAACCAAGCCTTCACCCACCGCTGTGAGACAAAGGTTAAACCTGGTTTACAAATGGAAACCTGCAGGTTTTTATGCGACTTGCCAGATATCCAACAGCAACTCAATACCACAACTCAAAAGAGAATTCAAGGGCCATTGTAAGGGGGGCCCTACCCTGTTCTAGAACAGGAAGAGGATCCAGGGATCCCCCCCACACCTTTTCCTTCCTTACCGTTTGGGCATTTACCAGAGCATCTTTTCCCTGGTAGAGGTCCCTTCCCCCCAGTTTCCCAGTTATGAGGTCCTGATTCCCCCTTCCCTCTCACTTCCTTCCACTTCATCTCAATGTCTCTTCTGCCTGTGCCCCACAGGTAAACTCACAAGCAGAAGAACCTCAGGTCAGGGGAGGCAGTCTCGCTGTGAAAGCTATTGGGGAGGGAACCTTCTCTGACAGCATGAGGGCTGCAGAGAGAGGACTCAGGAGGCAGCCCTGAGTGAAAAGAAGCTGAGAGCCTGCATGGGAAGCAAGCTAAGTACCTTGGGCACTTTCTGTTTTGTTTTTTTCTACTTGGAGCCCACCACCAAGGGGTGCAGTGAATCCCATGTTAGGGTTAACATATTTCCAGTTCCAAAAAAGAGGACACCTGCTGGGAAGAAGGGTATATCATTATGGGCAGTGGCAGAGGAAGTCTGGCCCTGGTGCATACTAGAGAGAGGAGGAGGGGAGGCTGTGGCACCCCCTACCCTGGTCTGGGGCTCCCATACTGTACCAGGTGACTTGGCCATGCCCCTGGGCAGTATCTCCTAGGCACTCCACTCCCCATAGACTTACCTGCATCCAGCTGCTAGGGCTGCTCCCACCAGCCTCCCTGGCTGTATGCCAACCACGTGCGTGTGCATGTGTAGATGCACATGGCACCCCTGCCTCCAATTGATCCAAACGGCTCTTTGCAGGCAGGAAGGCTGGCAGTCTGCAAGGGGAAACCTGCAGTTTCCTCCTTTTAAAGAGGAAAATCCGCATTTTTCCATAGCAAATGGAAAACCTGGATCCCTGGTAAACAAGTATACCACTAGGCATAGATGTGCCTATCACAGTGGTACAAGTGTACCACTAGGCAGTGGGGGTGGGGGGGATAACATGGCTTAGCCCCCCCTCCCCCAAACATGGGGCAGCTGTGGGGCTGCAAGGCAGCCTGGCCACTGGTTTCTGCTGGCTGCAGCAGGGATGGAGAGAGGTGCCCGTGCAGCTGTGAGGGAGTGGGGCTGGGGCTAGGGGCAGGGAAGGCACTGCTCAGATGGGGTTGGGGGGTACAGGACTGAGCTGCAAGTGGCTTATCTGGAGGGCGCGGCTCCTGCTTCATGCACCCCGGGAGGCACCGGGG